TCGTTCATTTCATGAACTAGTGTGGTAATGACTTTGAGTTTCTCCTCTTTGTGACCTTTGCATTCTACTTTGAGTATCTGGCCTATTCTCTAGTTCAAATAATAGTGATGTTTGCTATATATTAGGAGTTGACCTCCATTATTTACGAGAACTGCATGACAGACATTAAGATTTACCCTTTTGTCCGGAATATTCATGCGCTTCTGGCTGTAGAGAACAGAAACTCCTGACCACAGTATATGATAAGGAGAAGTATGTTATACACTATCGGAACTTGAAGCAGGCATTAGATTATGGGCTCATCATAACAAAAATTCATCGGATAATGGCTTTTGATCAGGCCGCTTGGTTTGAATCATATATTGACTTTAATACGTACCTTAGACAACACGCTAAAAATGAATTTGAGAAGAAGTTATTCAAGGTTATGAATAACGATGTCTTTGGCATAACAATGGAGAATATACGGAAACATTCTGACGTGAAATTGGTTAGTAAATGGCGGAACGTTATGCAGCTGAAGCATTGATTTAAAAATCTAAATTCGAATCATCAACAATATTCTCAAAGAATTTGGTCGCCATTGAGTTGAATAAGATCGAGATTTACTTCAACAAACCAATATATGTGGGTATGTGTATACTTGATATTGCTATTGCTGATATATGTGCAATGAATTGCCACGATTGTTCTGTACTATATACCGGCACTGACTCACTTATTTATGAAATTTGCAACAGAGACATATGTGAAGTAATTCGACGAGACTGCCATCATCATTTCTGTACATCTGATTATATATCGAATAATAAATATGGTATACCTTGTGTCAACAAAAAAGTTTAAGGGGTGTTCAAAGATGAATGTAATGGAGGAATTATAACAGATTTTGTTGGTTTGAGATCAAAGCAGTATACGTTCAAATTATTCAAGACTGATGAAAAGGCGGCGGATGAGCAAAGCAAACTAGACGAAGAGGGTTATGATATAGTCTGAAATTGGTGTAACTCTCTCGAATAATGGTACAACTGAAAAGCTGAAGGTATCAAAAGATCTGTAGTCAGAACTGAAATAACATTTGGTTCGATTCCCATCGACTGCAGACATTTTTCTGATGGCTCGAGAAAATGTTTGGAATCATACGTTAAAAGGTGAGGCCCCATCATTCCTTGCTCGCATAAGACTTTCGAAGACTTCTGAGAGTTGCTCGTAAGGGGGCAAACGAATGACGGAAAGAACAATTTCAGAAGAATTTCTTTCGAAACAATTCTAGAACCTTTATCCTGATATCTTGTTTTCATCGATTCATTACCAAACTCCAAAAATATATATATATAGACACTTGAGCTACCCTCGATACTGAAATCGATAAAAAAATATCTAATGGAGTACTATATGTCCCTCTTTTATTACATTTATTACGAACATACTTCATGTAGTACCTATAGCCCAATATTTTGTATCCGTTGTTCCATCATCGAACTCCAAAAGAGAATATATAGATAGATGATTGAGCCACCCTCGAGTCTGAAATCAATGAAGAATATCCGATGGAACACTACGCTCCTCATACTTATTCGATAGATAGCTGCGATCGTTCAGAAAGACATGTTTTGTTGAAGCACCGATTCCCCTCCCAAGTCGAAGTATAATAATATATGTCCAACATCCTCTCGGAGACATCCTCGGTGGGATCGATAAATTGTCCCACCCACTCACATCACCTTTCCTACCGTCAGCCGCCAAGATTGCCCACTTGCCCTAGAAATGTTCAGTTTTGACCAAAATGAACCTTCATAAGGAAATACATGGGATTTGGTCCTCATAGCCCTATAGCCTATCTACTCCTAGAGGAAGTTTTCAAGAGACTTCAGGCTGCAGGCCTCACACTCAATCTGAAGATATATCATCTGCTGCAGAAACGGGTAAACTACTTGGGAAACGTCGTAGGAAGGCAGGGTGTGGAAGTCGACCCTGAGAAGGTACGAGCAGTGAATCAATGTCCAGTACCAAGAGATAAGCATCAAGTCAGAAGCTTCCATGGACTCCGAACTTTTTATCGCTCTCAAGGAACGCTTGACCACGACACAGATTCTTGGGTATACACTTCCACAAGGACAATTCATTCTTGCCACAGATACCAGTAATATCGGCATTGGTGGAGTTCTTTCGCAGTATCTTCGGTTACTTCGGCAAGGTGCTATCGAAGGCAGAACTAAACTACTGCGTTACCAGGAGGGACCTATTGGCCATGGTGAAATCATTGAAGCACATCTCAGAGTACCTCTATGGACGTAAATTCCTACTCAGGATAGACCACGCTGCATTGAAGTAGCTCCTGAATTTTAAGAACCCCAAAGGCCAAGTAGCTCGTTGGATCGAGGGGCTCCAGGAATATGACTTCGAGGTAGCACACCGAGTGAAGACGAGACATAACAATGCGGAATGCATTGTCTAGAAGTCCATGTCCACCTGAGTACTCACATTGTAGTCGTTTTGAGGATAAGGAAGCAGCCCTCTGCAAAACCACCGTTGTCAATGATGATTGGTTACCTGCGACAATCAAGCAAGAGCAAGAAGAGGACCCAGAATTTCGGAAGCTTCGGGAATGAAAAAAAGCGAATCGCCGCCCTCCTTGGGAAAAAGTAGCACCATCTCTACAGACGTTGAAGGCGTACTGGACTCAGTGTGATTTAGAAGATGACCTGCTTAAGAGGAATCTCGGGAGCGATGATGGGTCGGATAATCGGAGGCAGTTGGTCATTCTTAGGAGCCTAGTGTCGAGAGTACTCGGATATGTACATGATGGAACTCCAGGGGGACATCTAGGAGTGAAGGAGACACTGCAGCGGGTACGAGTGCGGTTCTACTGGGTGAACGCAGTGACGACGTCAGGAAGTGGTGTCGTGAATGCACCGTGTGCTTCGCCAATGGGCATCATCGTAATTCAAGGGCACCCATGAGACAGTACAAGAAGAGGAGTAAAGAGAGGATTGCCATGGATATTGCTGGGCCGTTTCCAGTGACTGATAATGGGAATAAATACATATTTGTCTGCATGGACTACGTCACCAAGTGGAGACCGTAACTCTCCCCGATATCTTAATGAATCAATTCATCAGTTTGGCGTCACCAGGGGAGAGCACTGTGACCTTTTTGCCACTCCTGTAGAATACGCACTAGCTCACTGCATCGCCAAGGACAGCCAACAAGTTTATGAGAAAATTCGGGAAGTCCCTTCGTCGGTCAAGCACTAGAAATATAAGATATACGCCCTGAAGGTGAAAGGTCTCCGTTTTATCTTATAACCAAAGGAAGATCTTTTGGAAACCCTCTAAAGACCTCTGGGAGACGCTAGTCAACTCACGAAGGGCCATACTATAGAAGGACATACAAAAGATAGCTCTTCCAAAGCTGGCGTGTGGTCTAGATGGCTTGAATTGGAGAATTGTAAGGAACATACTGGAGGATATATTTCGATTCACCGGAATTATTGATGCAATCGATTAACTGTCAAACACATAAAACATTTTGTGTAGGTACACCGCCTACTAAGTGAAATAATTATTATGAAAAAATAGACTGATAGCCCTGTGGATCATCGTATAAGAGGAACAATTCTAGTTTTATTATTCCAAATGGGAAGATCATGTGATAGGTACATGGCGAAAATGAAAGACAGATAGTTTCTGTACGAGTAGCTGAATTCGAAAAAATATGTTCCCATCTTAGATTCCTCAATATCATGAGTTGTTTTCGAAGGTTTTCATCTTGACTCAAACGAGCTATGGACAACCTGCAGACATCGATCAGAATATCCAAACATTTTGAATAATATCGGTTTACTGATGATATTTAAATTTCAAAGCCTACCAAGTGTCGATATATCATCGAATTCATGTCACAGCCAACTTATTCTTTTTGGATAAAAAGCAATTCAACAGCAAATCAAGGAATAAATGCCACTTTGTGATACATGGTTAGATAGAGAATTTCAAGGCAAAAAAGATAGACTGAAGATATGTACAGGGTGACGTTTAAAAAAAAAGTTGGGGTCACTTTCGGTCAAACAGGTGGTTGAAAAAAATTGTCGTTGAGTTCGTTAAGTGCGCTACCATTTATTATATACCCCCTGTGAATTCAAGAAATTTATCTTTCCAAATAAAAAAACTGCAGGCTGCTACATGTCTCCTGTGTCACCCGGTATATTGTTGTCATATGTTTGCTTTGTATTTTCAATAGATTACTAATTGGGAATACTCCAGAAATGATCAGTGTTTATAAATGAAATTTTTGGAACTACGCGCGGTTTGTACAATCTACGTCAGCGGCGCCATACGGCCAAGAAAAAACTGATGCACGGAAACGAAACGAAGTCAAGTGTGTAAGTCTGACGCCAAAGACGACATTATGGTTTACGGTTCATTGCATTTGTTGTGGTGTGCATTTCATCATTAACAATGTGTGCATATTATTGTGAGAGATAGTGGGAATGTCGGAACCAATTTTGTATCTGTTATACCGTTTTCGAATTCCCTAAGCTATCCGCATACTTATCTTGGCGACAACTGATGCACTTATATTATTTGTTGATTCTACTTTATTTATACAAATATCTACATATTCAATGGATTGCTTCTGGACAATGATCAGACCTGAATTAAAAATCCATTAAATGACTATAGGGGACATATATTGGACGTCCAATAGATGGATGAATGGATGTTACAGGTCCAATGAACATGAAAAGGATTTCCATTTGCAATTTATTGAATGACTGAAGGACATACATTGGACATTCAGTCGATGTCAAGAAATTCAGGAACTTGCCATCCAATAGACATCCAAGGAAAACACATTAAAATCCAGTGAACAGCCAATGGATGTTCATGGTGTTCAGACATGGAGGTCCATTGGATGTTCATTAGACATCATTGCGTTATCTGGGAAATTTCATCAGAAGATATTTCATGAAATATCATTATGTTTTCATTTTTCAGGTATCTGAAGAACGTCACCCACAAATCTGAAATAGTTAAGGAAGCGAATGAATTGCGACCAATCCTTGAGGAACTCAATAGTCCTATAGTTTTTGCACACAACGACTTGCTTCTTGGTAATATAATCTTCACCGAGAGTAAAAATGTGGTTACTTTTATAGACTATGAGTATGCAGCCCATAACTATCAAGCTTTTGATATTGCGAATCACTTCGCAGAGTTTGCTGGTGAGTAGTGAGACTTTCAATCGTTAATAAAACTCAAATTCATATTACCGACAATTTGTGAGTGATATGGTCATATCACATGTTGATTTATACAATCTTTATTCAACTATTCGATTGCCTCATCAATGGAACTGAATAACAATTAATCGAACAGACCTACTGTTTAATCATGACAAAAACATTCACATTCTATGATTAGGTACGTACATTCATCGATTGACATAACACGAAGAGAAAGATCAATTAGGCCTTCAGCCTACAGATCGTGTATCGAATCGTTACATATAGAAGTATTGAAGAAGGATGGCATTTGGCAAATGTCTACGGAGAATAGCTGTTGTTCCACTGTGATGGCCACGCTCTACTGCAGAGCCTCAATTTTTACCACTAAAATGTTTCATTCGCAGTTCTGAATTGATTTGTACCAGAAGTTTTTCTGCTCTGATTCAATTTCATCATTATTGAAATTCCAATATAATATTCGAGAAAATATTACAATTCATCAAATGGGTGCGGGAAAAAATCTCTACCACAAGTTCCATCGCCAACTGCAGATTACATATTACGTTTCGAATATTTCGCTTTGGTCGATGAATTCTCTAGGAAAGGTCGGTGAATTAAATAATAAAAACACAAAGTTCGTGACTATTACATAATTTTACTGATTTCTATATTTTTTAAGCTATATGAAAGAAAGATGACTATTAAATTCTTTTTTTCTCACTTCTGTTGATGACCTTCCTAATCACGTGACTAGTAAACTATTAGCAGTAGGCTGAAATTGCAAATCTCAAACGTTTAACCGTTTCATCCTCAAATTTTTCGTTGTATTATGTGTACCACCCATCTCATTCTTGACCGGATCAGTCTCTTTAGCTATGTTGCCATTCACATGCTCTATTATGTTACAAATGGACAAATGTTCTGTATACGATCAGGTGTTTTGAGCATCGCATTTTTTTTATCGCTTGAAGCGCACGCATATATTTCCATAGCGATAACCTTATTAGTTAATGTGGTATCTGGAAATATTTTTCGACATTACTGTTCCGAATGAAGACGCAAAAATCATTCCACTATATTATTTCCAAAATACTGAAGAACTGTTTCGTTTCATTGAGAGCTAACATGTTTTCATTGTCCACTAGATCTTGCTACTTGGGGTCAGGGTAAGTAAAACTGATCGATTTACTTCTCGGATTCGTATTATTTGGCCTCATCTCACGATATATTCTTAGATGTCGATGTAAAAATTGCCCATAAAGTTTTTTTCATCTCCTGGAATGCGTACCTAGGGACAATAGGAAAAGTGGGTAGGTATCAATTTTTTTTTTACTTTTGGAGAACCTTCAAAAATACTTCCTTTGACGAAAATTAATGAGTGTGACATCACCCAACAGGTGAGTGGCTCGTCTCTGGATGTAATCTGAGAAAATCAGCGGATGTTTAGGTGCACAACCCTATTATGTGGGAACACTATTCTGAAAGAGGTCGTATTTGTGCTTTGTAGATCATGAGAAGCTGTTGAGGAGTAAAGTAACTTTCAAACGCAATAAAAATCCTAGTTTTCGTAAAGTTGCTTCCGCGATGAATCTGATATGATTTTTTGATGGAAGGGTATTGCTTATGGAAATACCGAGGTAAATCTTGTGGAAAAGGTGCGGTACCAGGAATTGATATTTCAGGCATTCTGTGTTCCGCCTTACAAGAGAAAATGAAAGCTTGAGTATTGGTGGCGTTGAATTAAACTTGGTTGTTGATTTTATATATTCTGTGATTTTAGCAAGTGCTTGATTGATAGCGTTGACCTGTCGTCGTCCTGAGTTCCTATTTTTCCATGAAATAATGAGGAATCTGCGAAAATACCAGTATGGAGAGTACTTCCTGCAAGACATGTATCATAGAAACTTATAATAAAATATTCATGAGAACATATTGTACCGTTTGAGATGTCCGAGAAACGGCACTACTTTCACTAGGGGATGACGTCAGCTGCACGCTCTGCTGCAAGTTCCTTAGTTAGCCAAATACCAGAAGAAGAAGTACCGCCCAGTTAACACAAACCTCTCTGAGATGTCGCATTCAGGTCACCAAATGTTGAAAATGCGAATCGCAATTATAAGTTGCTGTTACCGCTACGAGATACGAATTTAGATGAATGGTTCACAATGGAACTCACATTTTGGTCGATCCGAATCAAATATGAATGTGTATTTGTGAGTCTATCTAGCATATCAAGTACGTTCATTGAATGCGTTGAAAATAAATTCCTTTGAAATCTCTGTATAATATGTCTCAAGGATGAATAAGTGATTCGCATTTATTATATTTCATGAAAACTAAATGTGAGCAGGCGTCGATAACAGTTTATCAATTTTTCTAACATCTCAAGAAATTTTCATTTCTGGCACGACCTCCCTCTTTGGCAGAATGACGAACAATGTTCAGTTGTGATTCAGAAGTGAATTTTTGCAGTTGTGGCATTATACTTCCGTAGCAGCGATATAATGTATAGAGCTTGCTTCGAAATGTATTTCTACAATTTCATTTCACTTTATTTTCTCTACCTCTACTGTGGAACATATGGACTTCTACAGGTTTCTAACAAGTTGATAAGCTCTTCAGTCGACACTTTTACTCGAATGGTTTTCATTCTCTAACGCATAATATCATTTCGCATTCTAGATACAAAAATTCATGTTTCGAAAACTGTCTGCAAATCTTGACATTTTGTTTAAAATGTCAGCGAAGTTTCACGTTCTAGAAAGCGAAATAGAACGTGAATGTTGAACATTTTGTCATAATATGTCGGGAACTGATTTCAATAACGTATGTAAATTGAAAATGATGGAGAAAAATGAATTTGTCGAGAAATAATGAACTTGATCGTATACATCAAAAAATGTATCTTGATGCATAGAAGACGTGTACCAAATTTGATGAAGGTATATAAACAATACCATATATGCAGTTATAGTAGGTAATAAAAGAGAAAATGTTCTTTCTGAAAAGTTTACCACCCTGTATCTCAAAATTTAGGACGTTTAGGACATAAGTTCATGTGAAGATTTTTCTCAAAATGGGTCCAAAGAATCACCCTCTGCATGTCATTAAGGAACATCTTGTATGGCATATCCCCACCTATTTATAATGGCCGATCAGTTCACCGGTAGACTCAAAAAAGCATGCATGTTGCGCACAATGTGCTCTGCACGTGGTCATTAAGGGTCGTAGATGTTGCCGAGAATTCCATAATGCCCTTTATATCCTGATTCCATTGATTCATCGAGCTCATATTCGACTACTGTAATTATCGACAATCAAATAAACTACTCATTTTGCAATAAAACAATTCATTAGTTCGATGTATCCCAATTACCACCATTGATATTAAGAACTTGAATATCGAATAGTAGTTCTAGTAGTACTCAGTAGTAATAGAAGTAGGTACTTGGGAATTGTTCATAAGGACTCTGATATTAGAAGGCGTGGCATCAGTGTGAATATGTGAGATGGCCGGTTGCCGGTGTCTGTTCATTTTTCGATTCATAGCGTCTATACTTGAACTCGTTTGATTTAGATTCAGCGAGTCGATGCTATTGCTGAGAGTGTTAGAATCATTGATTCTTTGAGATAATATCATATACCTACCTAATAAAATAGAACTATATTTTGTGGTTTGGTACCAGTATATATTGTGTGTTCATTGCATCGTGGCCAGCCTTGATAGAACGGTAAGTTATACCTAGTTGTTAACTGCATGTTCTTCTCTCAAAACAAAATACTATCAAATATGAAAAATAAATCTATATTTCCAGGTTGAAGCGTTCTCTATTATTGTGGTTTGGGAGGAGAAAACCGTTCAAGAGTTTCCTATGTTGGCCCACGAATTTGGGACACCAGCCTATACTGAACTTTTGAGTATTATAGAGGCTGTTAGGAATTCGTGGTTGAGGATGGGAATTTCGATTAACAATTATCGGTTACCGAGATCTTCATGCCCAGCCACAAATTTGTAACAGCTTTATTAGTATAATCGATCCAAGAATTCAAGTTTGTTAATTTTTTTTTTATTCATGTACGATTATGAGAATGTTTTCTCAACGTTTCGTTCGTTTTGTTAGAATGATTTATATTATTTTTCTTGTTAATGCAGTTTTAGTTGGACAAGTTATTTAATGTTTTGTTTGTTCATTTGTGATAATATTATTTTGTTTGTTCATTTGTGATAATAACTGTTTCATTATTCATAAATATATATACAGTGCTAGTCAAAATTCCCTTTCCCCCCTCGTATCTTTTGAACGGGTATACTTATAATAATGGCCTTGTGACGTCATTTATGACTATTGCGTCACCTGTTATGACCAGTTGAGAAGCCTACATCCGTTTATTTCCACCCTCCAAATTTCATTATTATAAGTATACCCGTTCAAAAGATACGAGGGGGGGAGGGGACTTTTGACTAGCACTGTATATTTGAATATATTCCATATAAGTTCATATTATATGTTATATCCGTTTTCTACGTTGAAATATAATGAGCTTCTTTGTTACCGTTTTGTTTGTTGTAAGAATTTATCATTTCAGGTTTCCATTCCCAGTGATTCAATTCAATTCACTAATCTTATACTCCCAATTATTCGTATCAGTGACTGATATGCGAGTTACATTATCATTCACAAATGAGGTCTGATAAACCCAATTTGTGAGTTCTCTGGCAACATCTGAAATTCATGTGTTTTTGACATGAATGAGAGTTACAAAATACTTCATTAAAATACATCTTTGATATCGGAATGTGACATATTCAGTGATACGGATTGTGATTCACATTATGTAATTAGTAGCGATTCATTCGACTTCACATTTTAACATCAAAAGTATTCCAATGTGCATTCGATTCTGAAGGAGAAGAAGTAGGTCACATTCAGCAGATTTCGAGTCACATTAGGCATCGCATTGTAATGCCTGAAGCCGGTCAAGGGGGCCCCGAATAG